TTATTTTTGCATTAAAAAATGGTTTGGTGAAAAGAAATGTATGAGTTAGTGAATTGTTTTCCTACCTCTAGTCCTAGGAAAGTCTACTCATTGCACTTCAGACAACCTAGAACAGATTTCTGATTTATCTTCTAGCGGTTTCCTATTTTCAGGGTTATGATCCCTGAAAGATGGGTAGCTTTGTACCTCTTGTTTTTCTCAGTGATGCGGCACAGGCAGTCAGTGTATTTGCTATGGTTGCTGTATCAAAAGTACCATAGGCTGGGAGGCTTAAACAACAGAAAGTTATGGTCTCACAGTTATGGAGACTAGAAGTTCAAAATCAGCCTGTTGGAGGTTGGTGTATTCTGAGGGCTGAGAGGGAAGGGTCTGTTCTAAACATTTCTCATTGGCTTCCAGAGGGCTTACTTCTGGTTCACAGTCCTTCTCCCTATATCTGCACATTGTTTTCCTCTCATTTTTCCTTTCTTATAAGGTACCAGTCATATAGTTGGATTAGCATCCACCTACAGAATTCATTTAAACTTGATTAACTCTCTCAAAAGACCCTATTTCCAAATAAGGTCATAATCTGAGGTGGTAGGGTATTAGAACTTCAACACATGAATTTGGGGGGCACCATCCATCCCATAATAGACAGATTCTCAAGATGGACAAGAGGAGCTTCTCCTAATTCTTCAAAGCCTTGGCCATTCTGATTGGTTTGGTTCTGGTTTGGCTCCTCACACATTTCTTACAACTGGAGAGGTGCCCCTCTTTCTGCCCATCCTGCCCCATTCCCTACAGAAGTATCTTGCCTTAGAAAGCCACTATTACTGATGAGAACGTGTGACATCCTTCCAGAGGCATTGGGGTAAAGCAGAAATCACTGGTCCTGGGTAATGTTTTAATAACCTTGATAAAAAAATACTTCATTTGCTCTTAAAGGGAGCTTTTTTCCCCTTTGATGTATCAACTACATGTAGATAAAAAGCTGAAAATAATATTCCTTTCATGGTTTAAGAACAAAGCAGAAAATTCATACGCTATGGCCACTGGATGGATTTATTCCCATAAAATGGCATTCTCTGCAGCTTCAACTTCATGCAAAGAATCCCAAAAGTTCCAAGATGCTACTCAACAGAGCCCTGCATATTTGATGTGCAGTGGAAGAACCAGTCATGTATTCTGGCTTAGTTTCCAATTTAAAAGGATTTAAGGATACTCATAAAGTGGTATTTTCAGCTCTAAGTCTCAAAACTTTACCATATTCTAGAATTAGATCAAACAGAAGACATAAATTAAGCTTTCTATGGATCACATGAACCCATACTCAAAAATTGCTGTTAAACTGAGACCATTTCAGAGAGATTCTAGTGCTCATTTTAAATGACTTTGGATATGAGCAATTATTTTATTAAGTAGTATCAGGACCTTTCACAAATAGCTTGAATGTCAGCAGGAGGCCTATGTGTTTGCATCCATCTATGCTTTTCCCATATCAGCCAAGTGGAAACCTATACTCAGATTCAACCCTTTCCCATATTTTCACAAGAGTTCCAATAATTTCAAGTATATATTTTATTTTGTAAGCACACGGAAGATCCAGGGATAATCAGCAGCCCAGATTACAGTATTCTGTTGGTTCTGTAGGCCCCTTACCTCCAATTTTCCTTTCTTACTTTCTCCTTTTTGTGTTTCCCTAGCCCCCACCCCTCCCTCAAACCACACCATCCCCTCAGCAGCAATGCTAATTCCTCCTCTCAGTTCATGCAAAACATGGATTGCAGTATATCAGATTATTTCCTCAAGTAATGCAGAGTTTTCCCTAAGAATAATCAGGAGAATGAACATATGACTCTGGGTAACTTACTTAACCTCTGTAGATAGTGAATATCACGGTATAAAGTGAATTCGGGTATAACATGGTTAGCAATGTCTTCCATCCTCTGAGGAGCCCCTTGTCAATCAGGGAAAGCTAAAATTTATTTGGGTGGGGGAGGAAAAGAAGTTGAAACAAGAGGGAAAATAGCAAACCAAACAATCTCAAACCATTTGGCAAAAGCACAGAGAGGAAATGGATCCCTGAATTCTAAGTATTCTCCTAGCCCAAACTGGCCAGCTAAATGGGAAACTTCAAAACTTCAAACTTCAAATTTCAGCAGGTCCTGGTCAGATGTGGATGGCACACTTGGATCCTGGAACTTCCTGCATTTCATTAATCATGCATTACAATGACTCCATATTTTACATGACTGAATTTGTAGACTTCACTGAATATGTTTTGGTGAGGTTGTATATGAATATGGAATTATTTTTAAAGTCCTGTAATATATCATCTTATTGACTGCTCAGAATAACCACCCCATTTAACAATAAAAAAGAAAAACAGACACTTCTGAAGAAAATAAGGCTCTCAACAAATTAGTAACAGGAGTTGGGACTCTGACCAGTTTTTCTGATGGCAACGATTCTGATTTTTCCTGGCCAGCTTGCTTCCTTTCCCAGGAGACCTCATCCAGACTATATAACAGAAACTGATTTTTCCTCCAAAACATTTATTTGGACTGATACTCAGTTAATTATCTCATGTTTCACCTGGCCTGTGTCCACATATTTTAGGAAACATGTGGGTCTATGGTGGCCTCCAATTGCAAGCTGGGTCTAAAACAGCCTGGCAGTTTGGTGAATTCCATCAAGCAAGCAGTCATTTCCATTTAAAAAATTGCATGGATAATTTTATGTAATAAACCCTCCCCATGCCACCATGTGAAATTTTTATTTCCTATTTATATAAAGAAATTTGCAATAACATCGAGGTTAAAAAGTTGGGGGAAACTGGTTTTCACTGGCTTATACATGTAATAATATTAAGAACAATAGCAAGAGCTTCTATTTATTGAGTACTTACTATACTCCAGACACTTTGCTAAACACATCATCTAATTTAATCTTAATTAAAAACAGTTTTGTAAATCTGTTTTCATCTTTTTCACTGTAAATGAAGAATTTTGCATTGATGTCAAAAGAATTAACTTAAAAAAACCCTTTAGGCTTTGATGCCTACTACCTGATCAAATGGGTAGTTGTGAATAATTATGACCAAAACTCCAACTATTGCTGTTATGCAGAAGAACAAGAAACACAAGAAATGACTGTGATATTTGATTTAGTATTTGATTTTTATCCCTCATTATCTCCTTCACTTATTTCACCCACCTCCCTCCCTTATGACAAGCAGCTGTCTATTCTCTGTGTTTATGAGTATTTGCTTTTTAAAAACACATTGCAATATTTGTTTTCCCCATTTATCTACCCTATAGGTATAAGCTAATGTCTGTTACCTGGGGCTCTGACTGGCTACTTATCATATGACAGAAAATATATACCCATATGCCTTACAAGGAAAACTCTGTTCATAGCCAGGAGCAAGTTTCACCATGATAATCTAGTGTGATTTGCCTATGTTTATGGCATTGCTTTCTCTCTGTTCTCATAAATACCATAAACTTGTCTTCTAGACAAGGAAGGATATTGGAGCTGTTTCAGCCTTCAAGTTCCTGTAGCATCATTCTTTGATGAGGACTTTTAAATTTAATCTCAAAGTCATATTGTCTGTTGGCATATCAGAAAGGGGCTTTGGGAACCAGAGTAGAAAAGTGGCCACTGAGTGATAGATTACATGTTGGCATTTTGATGACAGGCTGTCTGGGTTTAAGTTAATTTTCTGGTATTTATTAACTGTGTAACCTCAGATGTTTTACTTGTCTTCTTTAAGTTAATTTTCTGAACTTTAAAATGAAGATAAGAACAGCGTCTATCTCACAGAGTTAATATGAAGGTTCAGGGAGATAAGGTACATGGGTGTGTTAGCATAGTGCCTGGCACATAATAAAAACTTAATAAACACTAATTATTATGATAGAAACTCCTCCCTCTGCCACTTCTTGGATATGCAACTTTGGTGAAGTCATTCTACCTCTCAACCTCTGATTCTACAAGGAATAGACTCGACAATGTTCTCTGCAATCTTTTTCAGCTCTAATTTTCTGCGAATGGAAATCATTCTGTCAGTGTTCAGAATGTGGTGTGCTGTGAACGCAGTAGCCCCTCATAAGATAAAAGGGACAAGTAAAACAATGTGACCTGAAGAAGAGAATGAGGCTCGAAGCAATGAATCTCTTTAGCAGAGATAGTACTTACAAATGCTGTATCTCTCAGCACTGCACATCTCTCATCTCTCAGCACTGTAATTAGATGTCCCTCTACATCTCTCAGACCTCCTAACTAGTTCTGACCAGTACAATATGAGGGTAAATAATATGCTTCTCCAGAAACAAAAAAAAATTTCAGATAGCATTGTTGCCACATGGAAACAGCCTGGGTCTCTGAGATACTATTGGAGAACATCTGCCTGGCCTACATTTGATTATGACAAGAGTAAGAAATAATTCTTTCTTCCACTAAACAAATTAGATTATGATGTTTTATTGTTAAAGCAGTTAACAGTTACTTACTCAGACTTAGACAGTTTTCGAATTTCTCCATAACCTGTATCTTAAATTTTTTATGTAGCTAATTTTTTTTTTTAAATAAAGCGCACTATTGGCAGAGGGTAGGCTGGTGCGGGAGTTGGGGGTGAGGAGAAAATGCAATTAAATATCAACATGTGGCCTGAGAGGCATGCATGAAAAACAAGGAAGAGGCCAAGAAGCCAAATATAGTGTTGTTTTAGGTGTACCTCCAGGAATTTTTGACATTTACTAGATGCCATCCTCCTTCCTGGTAGCTTGGTGTCAGGTTGATGTCACTGTGTACCCAGAATGGCTCTGACTCTTGAGTCAGAAATTCCGATCTGTTTTTACAACACCTTATCATTTGTCCTGGTATTTCACTGGGCATTGTAAAATTCCTGAAGCACAATTAATTTTATTTTAATTGTACTAATTATAAGAAGAAAAACATTTCACACCAGAGGCAAAATGGAAAGGCGCGCCAATATCTGATAGCCTTACCTCATAAGGTGGTTGTGAAGACCTCAGCAGGCACCAGAGGTGGAAAACAGAGAAGTGATGATCTGAAGATAGGATGAGAGGTGTATTGCAATGACCCTAGAACTAATAAAGAAGTCTGAATATCATAGGAAACCTGTATTTTTAAAGAGAATAATAAGCAAGAGAATAAGCATGAAAGTCAAAACACAAAGTGTGGTCAGAGATCTACACACGACCTTTACTAAGAGGATCCTACCTTAATTCTACAGAGGACACCTCATTTCCCTAATTATCCCTTTCTTTAAAAAAAAATTACTCAACTTTAATACATCAGAAAAAGAAATAACACCTTCTTTAATATAATTAGAACTCTAAGAACAGTGAAAACGGTCTTTCTAAAAAGCCATATACTTATACATCTCTTGATAGTTTAGAGAAACTGGAATTCTTTGAGCTTGCATCTGTATTTCTTAGTTCTTAACTAAGAAATAATGTTGGTAGGCATATACCAGTTCCATTTTATTAATAATGCTCAATTTAAATGTGAATTTCAAAAGTTAATGCCTGTGATTCAGCTCTCTATGTGATTTATCAAGATGGATTTATCCAAGCCATCTATGATTCAGACGGAATGTTGGAACAGAGACCACTGTGCCATAACAAACAAGATAGATGAACATCTCAGAGGATGACTGCTGACCTAGTGCAAACAAAATAGCTCCTGGTTTCACTGGCTGTTGCCAAGTCTCAGTAGAGTGCTAAGAATAAAAATAGCACAAGTGTGGAAAGGGGTCTGCTTGGCTTTCTCTTTATGATCGTTCAAGCGGATGAGTGATAGAACTGTGAGCAGATCTCTGCCAACTGCCTGGAAACCATCAGATCATTGACGTCAGTGCTCAGAATGTGGTGTGCTGTGAACGCAGTAGTCCCTCACAAGATGAAAGGGACAAGTAAACAATGTGACCTGAAGAAGAGAATGAGGCTCGAAGCAATGAATCAGATCACTGAGGCCAGAATAACATGTCACTACACCAAAAGTCACCGTCCAGTAAGGCCCTGCTTGGACCCCGGTAGAGTGGGTTTTCCTGAAAGGGAATTGCATGGGAACTTGGTGGATGGTGTGAAGCAGTGCTTAGCAGGCTAGCAATGACTCATGTATTCTAGGTACGTTGTGTCAGTTACAGGAGACCTACTTCTCCAAAGTCTGGCCAATTTCATTTCATCTTCAAGCTATATATTGAATATAATATGATCTTAAAAAGAGTCAAAAATCCATGTTTAATAGTGGTCAGTGACTCTAGATTAGATGTAACTAGCTGCCAAATGGTTCTACAATAGTGATAGACTGAATAGCTTTTTTTCTCCTCACCTAGTGCCTAACAATCAGTGAGAGGGCCACTACCAGTAGGGACAGAGAACAGGGAACAGGGGTGAGATGAGTGAAGTGTAAGGCCGGAGAAAGGAAGCAGCAGGTAAATAAACATGGGAAAAACAGTGCTGGAGCACTAATGCCTGCATCTCCATGATTTGGTCTTTTGCTGACCACAAATTTCCTGACTGGAGAAGGAAGACTTGTCAGCAAATTGATGTGACTCTCTTTCAAACATACGCATGTGCATGCACACACACCACATGAAAACACATGCACCTGAAGAAAATTTAAAATACATCTCAGTTCTATCTGTATAAACTCCATCTTTTCAAGCCCAAAAAAGATCAGTATAGCCTAAGACCCTATACCTGTTCAATATCAATTTAGATTAAACTGCTTGATACCTTGATATGAAATATAGGATGGCTGGATGGTGTTCAGTGGCATTTGTAATTTATCCAACATAATTCCACTTTCTTTGCTTTTCCATTACTTCCTGATTTCAAAGCTTTCTTTCACGTTTAATTTCCCTCTTGTTGAATTGCAATAATTAGTAGTTTACAAAGCAATCTATGAGTAGTAAAACTTACTTTTTAGATATCCGACATGTCTTTATTTTAATTCTTCTATGGTAGGTTAGACAGACATAGAGTATCAGGTAAAAGTAGATTTTTCCTCAGCACTTTAGAGATGTTTCATTGTTTTATGGCACCTTTTGCTAACACACAGAATTGTTTTGTCTTTCTAAATATAATTGCTTTATGAGCAATATGATTTTTCTTTTGATTAGCATGTAAGGTTTTCTTTTTTGCCTATTCTTCAATTCCAGTGAGCTCTTTCAGACTTGCTATTTTGATCTATCTGAAACTACAGAAAATATTTAGCCATGATACCTTTTAATATCTTCTTTTCCCTTATTCTTTATGTTCTCTTTCTCTGGAACTCCACTACACATATGGCAGGGATTCTCAAACAATATATGTCTTCAGTATTCTCTGTTTCTCGATGTTTCTGTGCTGCATTCAGAGTGATTTTCTCAGTACTGTCTTCCAGTTCACTGATTTCCTCTTCAATGACTGTAGTGTATGGTTAATACAATATTGACATATTTGGTAGAGGTTTTATTAAAATATAATTTACATATCATACAATTCACTCATTTAAAGTGTAAAATTCAATGTTATTTAGCATATTTTCAGAGTTGTATAGACATCAGCAACTTAGAATATTTTCAACACCCCAGAAGAAACCATGTTCTCCCTAACTCTCAGGGCCCAAGTCCTCCCAGACCTAGATAACTCCTAAACCACTTCTGTATCTATGGATTTGCCTATTTTAGACACTTCAGTCAAATCACACAATATGTAATGTACTCTTTTGTGAATGGCTCCTTTCATTTAATATAATGTTTGCAATATTCATCCATGTTGTAGCATGTGTCAGTACTACATCCCTTTTTATTGCCAAATAATATTCCATTGTGTGGCTATACCACTTATTATTTATCCATTTATCAGGTGATGGGCATTTGGGTTGTTTCTACTTTTTGGCTATTATTAATAATGCTATTATGATCTTTCATATACAACTTTTTTATGTGGTCATATGTCTTTATTTCTCTTGGGTATACACCTAGGAATGGAATTGATGGTTAATAGGGTAACTGTATTTTTAAACTTTTGAGGAATTTCCAAGTTGTTTTCCAAAATGTACCATTCTACATTACTACCAGCAGTGTATGAGAGTTCTAATTTCTCCACATCATTATTTATGTTTTTAGAAAAAATATGGAATACTTGCACAGGGGTCATATTAATCTCTGTATTGTTCCAGTTTTAGTATATGTGCTTCTGTAGGTAAGTGGTGTCTCATAGTGGTTTTGATCTGTCATTTGTATATCTTTTCTTTGAGAAATTCAATTCAGATTCTTTATGATTTTTAAATTTTGGATTGTCTTTTTATTATGGAGTTGTAAAAGACCTTTATACATTCTAGATGCAAGTCTCTTTTTAGATATATGATTTGCAATATTTTCTCCCATTCTGTGGGTTGTCATTTCACTTTTTTTTTATTGAGATATAGCTGATATGCAATATCATTTCACTTAACTGATGCTATTCTTGAAGCACAAAAGTTTAGTTTTGGCAATGCCCAATTACTCTACTTTTTTTTTGTTGCTTGTACTTTTGTTGTCATATTTAAAAAATCATTGTTACACACAATGGAATATTATTCAGCCATAAAAAAGAGATACTGCCATTTGCAGCAAAGTGGATGGTTCTAGAGTGTATTATGCTCAGTGAAATAAGCCAGGCAGAGAAAGATAAATATCATATGACTTCACTTATTTCTGGGATATAAATACAAAGCAAAACAGAATAAACAAAATAGCAGTAGACTCAAAGACATTGAGACATGACTGGTGGTTACCATGTTGGAGGGGGGGGAGTGGGGACGGTGAGGGGGATAAAAGGGCACAAAAATTCTCAATAATAATATACGTTGGTCACAGAGATAGTAGTACAGCATGAAGAATATAGTCAGTAATTCTGTAACATCTTTCTATGTTGACAGATAGATACCACACTAGTGGGGGTGAGGATTTAATAATATGGGTAACTGTTGAACCACTGTGTGGTATACTTGAAACCAATGTAAGATTGTATATCAATGATACTTCAAAAAAATTTTTTAATTAAAAAAAGTAAAAATCATTGCCAAACCCCAGGTAACAGATGTATGCCTATGTTTCTTCTTTGTGCTATATTTTTAGCTCTGGCATTTGGGTCTATGATCCACTTTTACTTAATTTTTGAACATGATGTGAGATATGAATCCAACTTCATTTTTGCATGCAGATATTCAGTTGTCCCAGTATCATTTATTGGAAAGACTATTCTCTCCCCCATTTAATTGTTTTGGCATTTTTGTCAAAAGTCAACTGACTGCAAATAGAGGATGTCTTTCCATTTATTTTGGTCTTCATTAAATGCCTTCAACAATGTCTTATAGGTTGCAGAGTATAAGTTTTGCACTTTTTTGTGAAATTTATTCTATTTTTTCTTTCTATCCTTTTGTAAATAAAATTGTTTTTAAATTTCATTGTAAGGTTATCCATTGCTACTGTATAGTAATACAATTGATTTTTGTATATTGATTTGTATCCTTCAATCTTACTGATTAGAAGTACTTATTACTTCTAATAGTATTTTAGTGGATTCCTTAGGATTTTCTAAACACAAATGCAATATCATGTCATCTGTGAATATAGTTTTGCTTTTTATTTTTCAATCTTGAAACTTTTTACTTTCCTTTCTTAGTTAAATACACTAGCTTGAAACTCTAGTACAATGTCAACTAGAGGTGACAAGAAGAAACATCTTTGTCTTGTTCCTGATTTTAGGGATAAAATCTTTGGTCTTTCATCAGTAAGTATGATATTAGCTGTGGGCTTTTCCTTGATGCCCGTTATGAGTTGGAAAGTTTCTCTTCTATTCCTAATTTTTTAAGTGTGTTTATCATGAAAGGATACTGGATTTTGTCAAATGATTTTTGCTGCATGTATTCAGATAATCATGTGGGATTTTGTCCTTTAGCCTATTAATATGAAATACTATATTAATTGATTTTTGGATCAATCTTGTATTAACCTTGCATTAATTCCACTTGGTCATGGTGTACAATCCTTTTCTTATTCTTGTTGGATTAGTTAGCTAGCACTTTTCTGAAGACTTGCATCTATATTCATAAGAGATATTGGTCCACAGTCTTCCTTTCTTCTGATGCCTTGTCTAGATTTGCTATCAGCATAAAATGGCCTCATTGAATGAGTTAGAAATTGTTCCCTCCTTTTCTATATTTTGGAAGAGTTTTTGAAGAATTGTTATTAATTCTTTAAGTGTTTAGTTGAATTCACTAGTAAAACTGTTCAGGCCTTGATTTTTCTTTGTACCTAGTTGTTGATTACTAATTAAATTTCCTTTCTTGTTACAGGTGTATTCAGATTTTTTATTCCTTACTGAGTTGGTTTTGGTAGTTTGTGCCTATGTAAGAAATGGCCCATTTAATCTCAGTTATCTTCTTTATTAGCATATAATTGTTTATATCATTTCCTTTTAATGCTACTTTTATTTCTCTAAAGTTGAGACTCTTATCCCACTTTCATTTCTGATCTATTAAGTTGAGTCATCTCTTTTTTGCCTTGGTCAGTCTAGCCTAAATTTTGCCAATTTTATTTTTCTAAGAACCCATTTTTTTATTTCACTGATTTTTCTCTATTTTCTATTTGATTAATTTCTGTTGTAATCCTATTACAACACCAAAATGAGAAGGGAAGCACAAGCAATCACTTTTGTATGTCAGTCTTATGAATGAAAATAAGTAGAGCCCCAAGCTCAAACTATAGGAAGCTAATTATTGTTTCAAACCACCCCTAGACTGTCAAGTTCAAGTGGTCATTGCAGAAGCTGGTTTATGTGTACAGACCTTCAACTTACAGTGGGGTTACATCGTGATAAAGCCATCATAAGTTTAAAATATCTTAAGTTGAAAATGCATTTAATACACCTAACCTACCAGACATCATAGCTTAACCCAGCCTACCTTAATCATTCTCAGAACACTTATATTAGCTATAGTTGAACAAAGTCATCTAACACAAAGCCTATTTTATAATCAAGTGTCTAACATCTCATGTAATTTATTGAATACTGCACTGAGACTGAAAGAATGGTTATGCAGGTACAGAAGGGTTGTAAGTATATCAGTTGGTTACCCTTATGATTGCCTGGATGGTGGGTGTCTCTAAAATCACAGTAGCAGAACAAAAGTGTTTCTTTTGTTCAGTGCATTTGTTAAGTGCATTCTTCATGATGGTGACATCACGGCAATATAATACCTCCTTGCCTTGATCGCCTTTCCCAAAAAAACTTTTCTAGAGGTAGAGAATGAGCCAAGAGGGCAATTAACTTGTGTCACATCTGGGGAGAGACTTCATTCATTCAACAAAAATTGATTAAGCATATACTGTGTGCCAGATACACATGAACAAAACAAAGAAGACCTGACTAGTATTCTAAAACCTAAAATTCTTGATAAAATGTCAGATAATGGTAAGATAGGATTCATAGTATCAGGGAGTGGGATGTGCTATTTTGGGAAGGATGATCAGAGAAGGTCTCCAATAAGGTGACATTTAAGTAAAGATCTGAATGAAGAAGGAGAGAGCCACATGGGTAATTGGAGAAGGAGGGTTCCAGACAGAAGGTTCAGCAGGTGCAAAGATGAGAGTGTGTTTGGCATACCCAGATATTAATTTGTGTCTTGAAAGTCTGAGTCTTTCAAATTTGACTCTCAGATACTGGCTAACATAATATTAACTTTGTCAACCTATTGAAGCCAAGAGCCAAGTCCAGGCATGCCTCAATAACTTCACGGGGTTAAGCTATGGCCTAGTGGAAAAAGCTTTCTATTTTTGTGAAGCAATATCTTTACTACTGTAAGTTGCAGAATTGGACCTGAGAGATAAAATCAGGTATTCTATTTTGTTAAGATTGATTTGGGAAAGACATGGGATGTCTTATCTATGACAAAAATTTTAAGACATCATTTTTCTCTGAGTCATGAGGTCAAAGATGAATTGTACCTTCTTTGCATATAGTCTGTATTATTTACATTTTGATTAAGCATTTTTTTGTAACTGGGAAAACCATTAAAGCCATTTTCATACTCATTTTTACAAATATGCAGCAAAATTCTGTTTATATATAAGAAAATGTGTCTGTAACTGTGTTTCTATATTTGTAAATGGTTTTGTGGATTTTTTGTTTTGTTTTTTTTTGAGTGAGGTTATTGTCTGTGTAGATGTACCTATACATACAAAGAAAAAAATACTGGAAAGACAGAGACCAAAATGTTAATAGTGCTTATACCTGAGTGGTGAATTTTGGGTGATTTTTAAATCATTTTCTGTATCCTATTTTAAACATTATTGTTGAAGCATAACACAAATAAAGAAAAGGAGCAAAACATAAATGTATAGGTCAGTTATCACATATAATTACACATGGAGTCACCAACCAGATAAGAAATAGAACATACCAGTACCCCAAAAGCTCCTCTTGTCCCTTCCTTCCATCTCTCATCTGTTGAGTTCTAGCACTATGGGTAAAGTTTCAACTGGTTTTGATGCTGAAGTAAATGGTACCATTTAATATGTATACCTTGGGAATTAGCTTCTTTCACAAAGCCTCTCTTCGTCAATTAGACACAAGTCTTTTTCAGATTGAAACATGTAGAATTGTCCCAATTCTTCACAGCATCAAATACAACTTACTTTTTTGTTGTATTGTAGAAATCTAATTTTTGCTTCAAACCATCCCTAGACTCTCAAGTTCCAGGGCCCACTGCAAAAGTTGATTTATGTGCATAGATCTTCAGTTTATGATGGGGTTCCATCCTGAAAAAACCCATCGTAAAGTTAAAACTATCACAGATGCATATTTTAGCCTCACAAGACTCAAGGAGGCAAGCATGCCTATTATCATGATCCTTATTTTTTGAGGTGAGAAACAAAGGCCCGGGAAGGCCAGGCAAGGGGCCTAGAGTTTCACACAGAATTGTGGGCAGAGGTAAAATAGGATTCCAGGCTCCTGTCTCATAATCTGGACCCCTCAGCAGCACCAGTTAGAGAAAAATATGCACAGCCTCTGTCCTCTCACATATGAAGAACACAGCCTGGCCTTCTGTGGCATAGTGGGACACCCAACGGATCCCCTTCTTGATTTATGAAACAACAGTCACCTGCAGGACCAAGGGGTAAGACATCTGAGGAAGCTCCTTTGGCCTCTATTGAGCAAAGAAGAGAAAAGTTTGGCTAATTTTAGCCTCTAGGTATGTGTCTTCCCAGTCTCCTCCTGTCAAGGAGTGCAGTGGGCAGCCTATTTCACAATCTCCTGCCCTTGCTTTCTGTTTCCTTCCCTTCCTTCCTTCCTGTTTCCTTCCTTCCTAACAAATGCTTACTGAAATTTTACTATGTACCATCCACTATTATTGGTACTTACTATCCATCAGTAAATAAAATAGACATGGCCACAGCCTGCTTGAAATTTACAGACTAGAAACTAGGGTCATTTGTAAACAAAATATCCCAGAAATGGTAAGTATTAAATGCTTAGGCAGTGAACCTGGGCCAAATAAAGAGATAAATATTTGATCAATGAATCAGTGTTTGAACAGATGAACAAATGGAGAGATGGATTGACTGACCTTTAAAATTTGAACTGAGATTCTCACTATAGCAAGATAATTAGAATTTTTTTCTGATTCCTATTTTATATTCCTATGATAGTGTGAGTGAAAAACATTGAGAAGATTTAGGCTAAGTCTGTCAGTCAAAAAATTTCATAAGAAAATCAATTAAGTAGCTCAAAATCATTTCTGTACTTCCAGAAAAAAAAAAGCAGCTGCCTGATGATATTTTTAATTGAATTCAGAAGCTATCACCTATGAGAACATTTAATTTATTCTTACCCAGTCAATCGAAAACAATTTAAGCAAAGCAGAATCTGTTTTCTTCTAAGTTGCAACTGAGCTGAGAACGGTCAGGCCAAGTTCCACCCAGTGTGAATTTCAGCAGCCAAATGATAAACACCAGTAAAAGAAAGCCTTTTCTAGAATGCCAGCAGGACTGCTTTAACCAAGTTTATGCTACTAGGCAACAATCTAAGAAAATCAATATTGTTGCTAATTACCCATCCAAAAGGCTAAAGAGGAAATGGCCGAAAGAAGCAATCTTCTTAATAAGTCCCCCATTACCTGGTCCTGAATCATCTCTTACTCATGAAAGGATGAACACATAAGTTTCAGAGAATCCCAGTTCTCACTGAAGTGGGGAAAGAGAGACTGCCTCCCTAAATGGCCTTAGTGATTCGGTGTAAAGGCCTTACCCCCATACAGTGCATTATAATTGTAGTGGGTGAAAGTGACAGACAGGGAAAGCTTCTGGAGGCTGAAGTGGTGGGAGCTGCCAACCCCACATTTATATCAATACTGTCAGCCACACTGTAACCTGGCCCCTACTGGTTCACCCATTGATTCATCACATCTGTATAAGCCAGAAAAGCTTAACAGTCTAATGTGGGGTCAGATGAGATAAAGGTACACAAGGAAACAAGATCCTCAAACTGTGCCTTGAAGAAAATTTCCAAGGTGATGTGACAGAGAGCAACTTGAGAAGCTGTATTTAATAGGGTGGTTAGGAAAGGCCTCTCAGAGTAGTCTTTGGGTGTAAGGGTTTGCCTGTTACAAATGTTCAATCTGCTCTTTTTAAATTGAGCCTAACCTTGCTCCTGTCACATTAGCTGATGTAGACTCTCAACAACTGGAAGCTTACTATCTTTTCTGGCCAACTAATGGTGGGTCTGTGGAAAGGAAGAGAATGGGGAAATCATCACCACAATGGCTGAAATGAGCCAACACTAGAATACAAGGAGAGAGCTCGCTTCTTTATAACTGTGGGGTAGGCAAAAAATACTTAGAAAGGCTAACTAAGGAAACAAGAATATTAAAGAAATAATTTAAAATTTTGATTTCATCAAATTTCAAAGCTTTTGCTCTTAGAAAGACAACATTTAAGGAATGAAAAGGCAGATCACAGACTAGGAGAAAAATACCATTTGGGAAATGCTAAATTAGTTGATTATTGTCAGTTTGGAGGGATGTTTCTTTCAGCTTTTAATCATCATTATGTATTTTCAATCTCAAAAAGGGTGATTTAGTATTTGAACATGCTACTCATCTTCAGCTGCATCTTGTAAAGTTGACATTCCATTCCGTTTTCTCCCCAAAACAGTTTTCTAGGGTTCTTCTCTACAAGCCTGGTCCTTTATTCTATCCTGATAAACAAAATTCAGCCAAATGGCAAAAAACAGAATTGCCAGCTTTTCAGATGACGCAAGTTTTTTTTTTTTTTGTTGTTGTTGTTTTAAGATACACAATCCTATAGAGTTTGATGGTGAGATTAATGGGATTTTAAGATTTTCTATTGGGTCTGAAAAATCAGTTAGTTAAGTGCATATATATTTTGTAGGGGACAGGGAAGGGCAGGCTTTGGAATTTTAGTTGACAATCAATTCAACTAAAAGTATAATATTGTGGCACCAAAAGGCAGTTCACCCCTAGTCTACACTATTAAGAGAATGGTGTCAAGAACAATAAAAAGTAAGTGAACCACTATGAATAAGTGGCACTGGAGACCTACAGGATGGTGGCAGTTCTGGGAACCATCCAAATGATGTCAAAGGAAGAGTGTGCACAGTCTGGGGGAAAGAATACACAGGCACGATGGAATTTTCATCCAAATACATGGGGAAGTTTCATGGAATGTCATTAGGCATCTTGACTGTCAGCTTCTAGACCTATTTTTAAAAACTCTGATTGTACCTAACTAGGTCTATCTTAATCAGAATAAAGTGTTCACAAAATCCACAGGAGTGGAAGGATCAGGTTCAGAAAGGGTGGAGGGAGCTCTGAGACAGAGCAGCCAGAAGCCCAGCAGGGGTCACACACAGGAGAAGGCTGGTCCTGCCGCTGTCACTAATGATGGATAACCAGCACCTGCTTTTTGCAGTTGCAGCATTGACTCAGGATTCAAAACTGCATTAGGAACTGTTTAATGAGTTGGACCAAAGTCATGTGGCTGGCCCTAACTGGACTTATTTTGAGTTCTTCCAGAAAACAGAACCAGCAGTAATGAGATGGTTGTTGGTCTGTGATACTGTAAAGATGTCCCTGCATAGGGAAGGAACTTTTACAAAATGAACTGTTATCAAAGATTTTTCACAATGTGGAAAAGCAACAATTACTCAAAATCCTTAGCTGAGAACTTTAAATTCTATAATGGGTCAACAAGGAGATTTTCAGGAATGCACCTGAGAGGTCATCTTCAACAATAATTAATCTTTATTGACATGAAAACAGGGACCTAGAGAGAGCAAATGAGTTTTTTTCCAGGGACTCTCAGTAAGTATCAAAAGAAATGTAGAATTAAGAATCTCCATGCCTTCAATCCATCCTCCTCTGTTATAAAATATGCTTCCTTTTCCAACTGAACAATATCACTTAGTAATATAAATATGTAATTTACTGAGCTCCCCAAATCTGTTCATTGTTGTTAATAGAATTAATGTGAACACAGAAAAGTATATTCATGTAGGGAAGGGAGAGGAGCTTATGTGGGATGGTAGAAACAAGATGAAAAATCCACTCAAACCTAAATGAATTTATTTTTCTATGACCTCTAATTTACCAACATGTCCTTGGTTTTCATGCTAACCTTTTCTGGTAATTAAAGCTTGAGAGTTTATGGAAAAACAATGCCTTTGACTATTAGCAAGACCTTAGGAAAATGTCACTGTGAAGGCAAATTATTTTTCATCTGCTTAGTAAACTTTTTGACTGATGAAAAATCAATACTTCAGCAAGTCTTGCAGGTGTTGTTTGTCTGATATGTCTCCTATGTCAAGTGAAAACAACAGTTTAAACACTGCTTTAATGAGAAAAATCACCCATGGCTAGTCTGGTCTTACCTTAAATGGATTTGTACCTGATAAGAGACTGATAAGATGTTTGCTTGAAACCTTGTTTGAAGGACAAATCCATTATTTGTTGCCACTTTTTCCAAGGTCCTGGAGAAATTTGCCTTAAGTATTCCTTTGATTGCCAACACATAACAAATCCTCTTTTCTTGAGAAAGAAGGACAAACACAACTAGTCACTAGTTTTGAGCAATTCTTTCATAAATCAAAATATTGAAAGTAGTGAGTTAAACCATTAGCATTCTCTGAAAGACAGAGTACATTATATTAGCTCTTTCTCTTCAATGTAGAGGCAGAAGAAAATGAAGGGTTTCCTTAAATGCTGTATCAAAATATCAAGGTAAAATGTGGAAACCTCAGTCATTCAGATGCTTCATGTATATACCAAGTAACTCTGTGACCTCTCACGTTCTTTCAAATGGATGAAGGGTATAGATTCTCTAATTGCTCCCATCCAGAAACATAGTGTCCCTTCTCAGCCAAGGAAGTAGCATTACTCTGAAGCACTCATTAAAAAAGAAAATCAAATGAAAAATAAGAAAGAAGAAGAAAGGACATTCATGGATAGGGGAAAGGAGGCCAATCAAAGATTGGAGCCTCTCATCACTATTACTGCTCTCTCCATACAATTTCTGAGTTCATTCTCTAACAGAGACTTGATGGTCCTCTGTTCTGCTGCTTAGCATCTCCAGTGGCTCTGCGCCTTCCTCCCAGAGTATGAACCGCACTGTTTGGCTGATTTTAAGCATTGTCAGTGACAGCCTGTTTCCCACCCCAAAACACCAAGATTGGACGGGCTATCCTGGCTCCTCCTAGCTAGCTCAGTTTTCTTAGAGGGGAGCTCACACTAGGCAAGGCTCCAGCCAGACTTACAAGCAACCAATTACCTTCCCATTTTAATTTTAGCAATAATTCACCTTGGGCTGTTGGTCTTGATCTCCCTTTACATCCCTGATGATTCAAGAGGAAATGCTCATACTGAACTAACTGGGAACCATCTTGGGAGGAACACTGTTTGCATAGCACTTTTCAAAATAGTATCATGGCAGGCTTCCCAATTCACAGCTACAACATCCTGTGGAATCAGCAAAACTGTTAAAAAGCCAACAACTGCTTCGAATTAGAGCTCTTCTGCGGGGGCTCAGGCAAGCAGATCTTTTACTCCTAGGATCTGGACTGGTGGTCTTCCCACCTCATGATCCAGATAGATTTGAAACAAAACTTTGACCCCCAAAAATCTGGCTTGTCACAGCATGGTTTTTTCTCTTGTTCATTTTAATGCTGGTTTTGCCCCATTAAACTGATTTCATGACTCACTCATTGGTCACGACCCACAGTCTAAAAAGCACCGTTCTAGAGCATGGAGAACTTCTCTTCTAACCTGGAATCATTTCAAGCAGTTATGTTTCAAAGACTCTAAAGCAGTGCCATACATGAGACCCACTAAGACTATAAAAATTGAGATGGGTGGGCCCCTTAGCTACAGATTCTGATTCAACTGGTATTAAGCATCAGTCACTTGTGAAAGCTCTCTGGGCAATTGTAGTGTGCAGTCAGGACCGGACCCCACTGCTCTCCTCTAGAACAACTAATAGGGAAACCTACAAGTTTCTTTATTGCAATACACTTTCTAAAATAATCTCTCCTTGTAAAGTTATTTTACGTGATACAGATTTTCCTGTCAATAGGTTGTTTATCAGTTTGCCACATTCAGTACAGGATGATCTTTAAAGCACTTTACAATCTCTGTTTTTCCACTTGAGCAGCAGAATTCCTGAAGGCCCCAGAGTCCTGAACACTTGGCCTCTTGCCTTGGACACAGGGTCGAGGCAGGCAGTGGGTTATTATAGAGCTGCCTCTGGTTGGGTGACCTCTCCCCTAGTGAGCTTTATTTCTATGAACAGAAACCAGATGTCTGAAAGTTGATGCATGGAAAACGACTGCTGTTCCAAAGCGGTGACCCTTCACCTACTAAACTTCTCCTTGTTGACTCCACTGCCAGGCGCCAAGGCAGGACAGCCCTGGCTGTGGGCATGGGACCGACCTTTCACCCACATAGCCAGCTCAAGGCCTAACATTTGTGTAGCTTCTTTTAGAGGGCTGTTCCTCCTTCCAACATCATGTTGTTGAAAACTGTGCAAGGCAGAGAAAAACTTAAATTTTATTT